GTTTGGTAAAACTCTCCTGTGAAGCCATCTGGCCCCAGGCTTTTGTTTGCTGGAAGCTTTTTGATGACTGCTTCAATTTCTTCCTTAGTTATTGGCCTATTGAGATTTTTTTTTTTATTCTTCTTGATTGAGTTTTGGAAGGTTGTATTTTTATAGGAATATGTCCATTTCCTCTAGGTTGTTTACTTTATTGGCGTAGAATTGTTCATAGATAGTATTTTTTTTTTAACAATCTTTTGTATTTCTGTGGCGTCTGTTGTTATTTCATCTCTTTCATTTATGATTTTGTTTATTTGGGTCCTGTTCAGCCTCCAAGTCTTTGAATCTTTTTGATTATTTTTATTGTAATTGATTTCTAATATTATGCCTTTGTGGTCTGAGAAGATGCTTGATATGAATTCAGTCTTCTTGAATTTGGAGAGACTTTGCCTGTGACCCAATATGTGGTCTATATTTGAAAATGTGCCATGTGCACTTGAGAAGAATGTATATTCTGTAGCTTTGGGGTGAAATGTTCTGAAGATGTCAATTAAGTCCATCTGATCTAGTGAGTCATTTAGGATTGCTGTTTCTTTGCTGAATTTTCCTCTATAGGATTTATCCAGTGATGTCAGTGGGGTAGTAAAGTCCCCTACTATGATCGTATTGCTGTCAATCTCTCCCTTGATATCTTCCAGAAGTTTCTTGAGTGCTCCTGCATTGGGTGCATATATGTTTACCAGAGTTCTATCCTCTTTTATTGAAAATATATTTTATTGATTTTTTACAGAGAGGAAGGGAGAAGGATAGAGAGTCAAAAACATCGATGAGAGAGAAGCATCAATCAGCTGCCTCCTGCACACCCCCGCACCGGGGATGTGCCTACAACTAAGGTACATGGCCTTGACCGGAATCGAACCTGGGACCCTTCAGTCCCCAGGCCGACACTCTATTCAGTGAGCTAAACCGGTCAGGGCCAGAGTTCTATCCTCTTGTTGTATCGATCCCTTTAGTATTATGAAGTGGCCTTCCTTATCTCTTGTTATGGCCTTCACTCTGAGGTCTATTTTATCAGATATAAGTATTGCTGCCCCAGCTTTTTTTTCATTTCCATTTGCCTGAAAGATATTTTTCCATCTCTTCACTTTCAGTCTGTGTGAGTCTCTTGTTCTGAGGTGGGTCTCTTGTAGACGGCATATATATGGGTCGTGTTTTCTTATCTATTCAGCCACTCGATGTCTTTTGATTGGAGCATTTAGGCCATTTACGTTTAAAGTTAGTATTGATAGGTACTTCTTTGTAGCTATTTTTATTTTTTGTGCCTGTGTTCCTTCTTCTCTTTGTTTTTTTTCTTCGTTTTACAACAGTCCCTTTAGTATTTCTTGCATTGCTGGGTTGGTAGTGATAAACTCCCTTAGCCTTTTTGTTTTTTTCCGTCTGTGGAGCTCCTGCTTTCCCCTTCAATTTTGAATGATAGCCTTGCTGGATAGAGTATTCTTGGATTCAGTCCCTTGCTTAGCATCACTTTGTACTAGTATATTTCCTTCCATTCCTTTCTGGCCTGATGTGTTACTGTTGAGAAATCATTTGATTATCTAATGGGAGAACCCTTGTAGGTAACTTCTGTCTCTCTCTTGCAGCCTTTAAGATTCTCTCTTTGTTATTAACATTTGCCATTGTAATTACAATGTGTCTTGGTGTGGGTCTTTTTGGGTACATCTTGTTTAGGACTCTGTGGTTGTGTGACTTTTTCTTCCCAAATCAGGGAAGCTTTCAGACATTTCTTCAAATAGGTTTTTCTAACCCTTGCTTCTCTTCTTGTCATTCTTGCACCCCTATTATACATATGTTGCTTCATTTCACGTTGTCCCAAAGCTCCCTCAGGCTCTCCTCCTGTCTTTTGTTTTTTTTTCTCCAATTGCAGTTCAAATTGGATGTGTTTTGCTGCCCTGTCTTCTAATTCACTAATTTGGTCAACTCTGCTTCTCCTAGTCTACTGTTGAAAGCTTCCATATTGTTTTTTATTGTAGCTATATCATTCTTTATTTCCTCCTGATTCTTACATAGGTTGTTGATTTTCTCATCCATTTGGTTTATGAACTGTATGACCCTTATTCTGAACTAGAGACCTGGTGCATGAAATTTGTGCACTCAGGGGGCGGTCCCTCAGCCTGGCCCACACCCTCTTGTAGTCCAGGAGCCCGCAGGGAACAGGCCTAAGCCATCAGTTAGACATCCTTAGCACTGCTGCAGAGGCGGGAGAGGCTCCCACCACTGCCGCTGTGCTCGCCAGCCGTGAACCTGGTTTCTGGCTGAGCGGCACTCCCCCTGTGGGAGTGCACTGACCACCAAGGGGCAGCTCCTACGTTGAGGGGATTGGGGTAAAATTGGCTCTCTGACATTTCCCAAGGGGTCCCGGATTGCGAAAGGGTACAGGCCAGGCCGAGGGACTCCACCAGTGCACAATTGGGGCCGGGGAGGGGTGTGGGAGGTTGGCCAGCCAAGGAGGGACTGCAAGAGGGCTCCAGGGCATGTTCGTCCAGTCTCGCTCAATCCTGATTGGCCGGACCCCTGCAGCAAGCTAACCTACCGGTCAGAGCGTCTGCCCCCTGGTGGTCAGTGCATGTCATAGCGAAAGGTTGAGCGACCTTAGCATATCATTAGCATATTATGCTTTGGTTGAATGGACGACCAGATGACCTGACACTTAGCATATTAGGCTTTTATTATATAGGATTCTTTCTTTTTACATATTGTATGTCTTGGTTTCATTTAGTTCCTTTTCTGGTTATCCCTCCTTTTCTTTCCTTTGGGGTTTGTTCTTCTGTCTCCCTATTTAGCTTTTATCAAAGGATCTAGGTGTCGAGTCGCATAGAGCCTGTGGCTGCAGCGGTGGGCTTGGTGGCAGGTCACGTGGTTGTGGGCAGCAGCAGCTCCTCAGACGGTTGCAGGGTGGCCACTTCTTACGTGTTCACGGGGCAGCCGCTCCTCACGTGGTCACAGGCGTCAGCTGCTCCTCGTGTGGTCGTGGGTGGTGGCTGCTCCTTGAGGAGTCACAGGGTGGCTGCTCCTCGCGTGGTTGTGGGCAGCAGCTGCTCCACAGGCAATCGCGGGCGGTGGCTGCTCGCCCTGCTGCTGGAGTGGTCACAGAGCCCGGGGCTGCTGCGTAAGGCTCGGCTTTTCGTTCGCGCGTTCACGATGCCCAGGGCTAAAGCGTCTGGCTGATGGGAGGGGATTGCCCTCTGGAACTCATATGAGCCCTCAGCTGGGGAGGCTGGAGTCCTGGTGTTCGTGGGTCTGCAGCCAAGGCAGCAGGTCCTTGGCCAGAGTGGCTGTAGGATCCCGGGTGGTGTCTGAGAGCACGCTGGGTGGAGATGAGGCTGGGCTCCGGTCACAGCAGCTCTCCTGCTTCAAGATGGTGTGGCCTCTGTGGCACTCCGGGAGAGATTACAGCAGTGGCAAAGGCTGCCCAGCTAGGCGAGCCCGTCAGCCAGCCCCTGAGGGTCCTTGAGATCTAGCTCTTCCTCACTCAGACATACACACACACCACATGTCCACACACTCCCCTTTCACTGCCTCACTCACACTCTCTTCTTCATTGCCATCCTCCTGGCCGCCATCTTGGAATCAAGTATTATTTTTTGAGTCCTTAGTGCCTGACTCTTACTAAATATCAGCAAATGTTTGGGTGAATGGATTTATGTGGGTAAAATGGCATCCTCAGCTCAAAGCAGAGACAGTTTATAAATTCTAATTTAAACAAAAAACAAGAACAGACTCTTGGCTTAAATTTTGACTTCTTCTCATCCGTCTGCCTGGTCACGATTTGCAGAAAGCCTATTGAAGTCCCTGCCCAGCTATCTCTAAATCTGATTTCTCCCCTCTCTGCTGTAACAAAACAAGAGGCTAGTGCACTGGAGAGAACATAGGCTTTGGAATGAGACAGACCTTGGTTCATTTCTTGGCACTATCATTTTTTAAGCTGTAGGATCTTAGGTAACCCCTCTGAATCTCATTTTCACATCTATAAAATGTAGTCCACAGTACCTACCTCACAGCATCATTCTGAAGAATAATTTGAAACTTTTAGGAAGATATTTAATATATTGTAGGCCATCAGAAAATAGTAGCTGCTGATACTATTTTGAACTAGAGGCCCAGTGCACGAATTCATGCACAGGTGGGGTCTGGCTGGCCTGGCCCCAATCGGGGCGGATCGGGGCTGAGCCTGTTGAGAGGAGGAGACTGCAGGAGGTTGGCCGGCTGGCCCACCCTGATTGGGGCCCAATCGGGGTCAGACTGGATGGGGGGAGGGGCCACAGGCAATTGGCCAGTGGGCCCCACCCCTGATTGGGGTGGGGGGCCAATTAGGGACCAGCGGTTGGGGGGAGGGGCCCTGATCCTGTTCAGGGTGGGGGGTGCAATCGGAGGTAGGGCCGGTGGGGGAGAGGGGCTGTAGGAGGTTGGCTGGCCGGCCCTACCCCCTATTGGAGTGGGGGTGCTAATGGGGCAGGGCCGCTGGGGTGGAGGGGCTACAGGTCAATCAGGGTGGGGCAGGCCGATTGGAGGTGGGGCCAGCCTGGGGGAAGGACCGAGGGGAGATTGAACGGCCGCCCCACCCTCGATCAGGGTGGGAGTGTCCAATCAGGGGCAGGGCCGGCTGGGGGGAGCGGCCAAGGGAGGTTAGATGGACGGCCCCACCCCCCCATCGGGCCAGTTTGCTGGCTGCAGTGGGTGTTATAGCAACTGGTTATTCCAGTTGTTCTGGCATTCCGGTTGCTGGCTTTTTATATACAAAGATAGTCTTCAGATTTTCACATTTGGATCTGAAGGCTGGATATGAAGCCCGGTGTCCAGGGTGCTGGAGGTGGGGCCCTTTCTTGGGTGGGATGGGACCCATAGCTAATGGTGGGCTTTTTGAGGTCTATTTGTCTATGGATTCTATGTTGGATTTCCTAGCTTAAGACTCCATACCTGGGACATGTGTGTGCCCAACTTGTTTTCTCTTCCCTTTCTTGTAGGCTCCCGGGCCAGTGCCAGTACTTGGGCTTGCCAGTGGCAGATTACTTCAAGCAGTGGATTAATCTGAAAAAGGTACTGTGTCTGAGCCCCACTTGGGTGCTTCGTCAGGTTCTCCTGTGCCTCAGATCTCCCCTCCCTTGCTTGCTTTTCTTCTCATTTCTGTTCTTTTCTTTTTGTTGTTCTCATCTTTCCTTTTCTTTCTGTTCTCTTTTCTCAACATCCCTGTTTCCTCTTCTCCAGCTAATGAGCCTTGGAAGGTTGTGGTTATTTCTGGAAGTGGGGAGCTGCTTGTGGGGACCAGGCTGCTGAATGGAGTATGATACTTCCCTATTTGGTATCACCCAGATGTGCAGAGAAGTTCCAGTAAGGGGGTTTTCCAGGTTCTTGCTCAGAGGTGAATCTCTGGGCTGAGCTGTATTATTGCCAGGAGAGATGCGGTACTAACTGAATCTCTGGGAAAGTCTCCTCTTTAATGTGATCATGAGTGTGACCTCTGACCCTTCTGACTGGCCCTGGTATCTTCCTCTGGTTGGCACGTAGCGTTGGTTCAGGCTGGCTTTGGTCCTGCCTAGCCACAGCAGAGCCTTGCTCACATGAGAATAGCCATGGAAACTACAGCCCAGTTCCCGACGACCACCAAGCACCTGGGGAGAGGGCTGAGGCTGTGGGCTGGGAGGTGGGCCGTGGCAGATAATGGATCCTCATAAAACTCTTCTTTCCTAGTGTGTGCTGTACCTCCTAGGTAAACGGAAGAAAGGAGGCGTAGGAATAGACTCCCTAGATCCCTGCTCTAGTGGATCCTTGTTCCAGGAGGCTCAGTGCACTAGGGAGGCTCATCCCCATAAATCCTAAAGTAAGATCAACAGCCCTGGGAAGCCTCAGGAACCCCATGCCACCAGTCAGCAATGACTCCCAGGAAGCTTGGAGAAGGGAAAACACACCAGGGGTCAGAGTAGTGGCTGCCAGGGGGTTCAGAGAAGAGAGGTTATTGGAGGTCAGGCTGGGATCCTAAGGATTTGGGTCTTGAACTGGGCATATTCAAGGGAGATGCGATATGAATCTGAGGAGGAGAGGCTTTCTAGGCAGAGGAAGTAGTGTGCTTTTGGTGTGGGGGTGGGGCTAGAGCTAAGTGAGCATGGGAAGGAGCAGTGAAAGAGAATGACCTTGGACTTTGTTCCATAGGTCTCAGGGCAGCCATTATTTGTGGCAACATTTGTGAACTCTTTTGCTTTTCCATGGTACAGAGGCCTCTGCACTCTGCATTGTTTGTACTTTGACCCCTACCCATCTTTCCTGACACACATAGCCCCCCACCGCCTCATGCACCCAAACAACAGCTGCTTACTACCTGCCATCTTTGGCTGTGGAAGCCACGCTCTGTGCTACCTTCTGCTCTTGGCCTGCGACCTTACTTCTCTGTGAAATGCCCCCTAGTCATCTTCATCGGGTATTTTCCCTGTCCTTAAAGATTCAGCTCAGGTATCACCTCTGCAGCCAGTCTCTTGCCTTGAGGCTCCGTAACACTTTGGATCTTAGAGTGGTGAAACAGAGTCGGTGTGTGTGTTTCCTTACGGCCATGTCTATTTGGAGCACAGAGACTGAATCTGGTTCCTTTCTGTGTCCCCAGTGGCCAGATCAGGGCTAGGTACAGAGTATGTGCTTTGAATGATTGCTGGCTGTCTGGCTGGTCTTTGAGAGCTGGCTCCATAGAGGCCCTCTTACTCAGGATTTGACAGAGTTGCACGTGTGGGCGTGGTTAGGCCTGCGCTCCTAGAAGACAGCATGCCAGCTGTCAGAGTGCCTCTGAGGCTGCTTGCTGGCCTTGGCAAATGCAATGTGAAGGCCCGGCCAGGCGAAGCAGGCGCTGACCATGAACAATTGCTCTGTGAAGTTCACTAGACTTTTTGGTATATGGATCGTTCCCTGCCTCTAGGTTCCTTGGCAGAAAGGCAGGAAAGCAACCAACCCGTGTGGTAACATTGCCACTCAGGGCTACCTTGATGCTGCTGCAGGTGGAAGTGGGCTGCCGTAGCCTGTTCAGCTTGGTTCTCTGCCAGGCTGTGCTGAACCATAGAGGGAATGGGCACAGGGGAAACTGAGGACCTTAATCCCAGTTGGCCTTGTGATGACCCCTTGGGAAGTAAACTTAGCAAGTCTAAGAAAAAACAAGAGGTCTAACCCCTTCCTTCCTGCCCTCTAGCCACCTCATGTTGCAGCTTTGCTTGAAGGTCCAGCAGGAGAGACGTCTTAATTCCAGCCTTTGGTTCAGTCCTTGCCAGCAGCCATTCAAACAGGGAGGCTACAGGGCCCTGGAGGTGCAGGGGCATGGTGATCTTTCTGTTGTTTATACTGCATGACTTAGTGCAGGCTACACAAAGATACCTGCTCCCTTAAAAAGAGTAACAATAAAAGCAAAACCAGAGAGGTCATTGCCAAGGTTGTGGGAGTATCATGCAAAGGCTTACTCCATGCCTTCTTTCCCCATATGTGACCCACACTCTGACTATCTACAGCAGTGATGGTGAACCTTTTGAGCTTGGTGTGTCAGCATTTTGAAAAACCCTAACTTAACTCTGGTGCCGTGTCACATATAGAAATTTTTTGATATTTGCAACCATAGTAAAGCAAAGACTTATATTTTTGATATTTATTTTATATATTTAAATGCCATTTAACAAAGAAAAATTAACCAAAAAAATGAGTTTGTGAGTCACCTCTGTCACGCGTGTCATAGGTTCGCCATCACTGATCTACAGGATCCTCTCCTGTCCTTGCTCTTACTTGGTCTCTCCTTCCTTTCCTTCTCTTCTCAGCTCCCCTACAGAGCTTTTCCCCATTAAAAAAGTGGGGAGGGTTCTGGTCTGCTTGGCCACCTAGATCTGCCTAGTAAGTAAGCAACTGGGAGTGAATTCACCATTCCCATTTCCTAAGGCCTCTAATCTGAGGAAAGGCAAAATGTTGTTTTTCAGCCTCCCCCTCCTGTCCAGAAACGGTGCGGGTTGCATCGGGGAAAAGCAGCTTTTAATGACCAGATTTCCACATCTCCCGCCTCCACCTACTTCCCCTGTAGCACAGTGGAGCAAGCCAATGTTTGCTGACATTTGGAGTGTCATTGAATGATCTTATACTCTTATTGAACTGTCAGCTTAGAGAGGACTTGGGGCCCTGCTCTCAGCTCCCTCCAGGAGATCAGAGCTTCACTGAGGGGCCAGAAGAATACACACACACACACACACACACACACACACGCACGCCCATGTATAGTCATGTGAACACATACACACAAGTGGGCATACCCAAAATTGCTAATAGGTACACATACAGGCATAATACATATTCACATAGTCACCTGTGGAAATATACAGACATAAATGTGTTTATATAAACATAATCATAGGGTGTAAAGACACATGAATAAAAAGAAACATACACATCTTCATCAATAAACATATCCTTGAGTGCCTTCTGTGTTCCAGATACTGAACTAGGCCCAGGAGATATAACAGAAAAGATGGATGTTAAATAATTTTAATTGTACTATAACAATACAATTGTTAAAAATTTCAGAGTCATGGGGACTCGACCTATGGGGTTGGAGAATGGTTCCCTGAGGGGTGGCTAAGCTGAGATCTGAAGGATGAGCAGGAATTGGCTAAGGTTGTGGCAAGGCCCTGAGGTGAGAAGAAGCCTGGCAGCTTCATGGAGCTAGAATGTAAGTTCCATGAGAGCAGAGAATTTTTGCCTCTTTTGTTCACTATTCTGGCCCCATCACTAATCATTATTTGTTGAATGAATGACTGCCTGAAGCATAGTCGATGTGGGGAAGTGAGGAGGGTGGCATGAGGTGACACTGGAGGGGGAGCTTATAGGCCACACTTTAGACTTTATCTTTGTCCGTGGGGTAAGGGGAAGCTAGTAAAGGGCACTAAGCATAGAAGAGGCTTCAAAGGAGCGAGAAAGGGCAGGAGCTGTGGTAGGGCAAGCGTGGGGTTGAGGCAGGTTTTGTGGTTTAAGATGGGAGACATATGTGCTTGTTTGTAGGCACTATTAGAGAAGGAAGGGTTGAAAATATAGGAGTAAGAGAGGTCTCTGAGAAGGTGAAAGGAGATAGGATGGGAAGCCCAGTTTCTTGAAATTGGCTGTCTTCAAGAGGAAGGTCCCTCTTCCATTGTGATGGGGGAAGAAGAAGATAGCTGCACATAGATGCAGGCAGGCTTGTGGGTTTGATGATGGCAAGTTGAAGTAGTTCCCATCTAATAGCATTTTTTCTGTGAAGTAGATGAGTCATTTGCTGGTAACTAATAGGGGAGAGATGGGAAGGTTTGGAGAAAGTGGAAAAAAAATTGCTATATTTTAGTAAATAGAAGTATGAGCTGACTTGAGAAGTATAGTAAGATTTTAGGCAGTGCTCAGGGCTCAGTTGGGGCTGATGACACTAATTTATAGTGGAACTACTGTGTTCAGTGGCATGACTTATTTAGTAGAGCTCAGCTGCCTGGCTATGGGCATGCAGAAGACAGACATTTAGCCTGGTTGGTGTTGCTCAGTGGTTGAGCGTCGCGGAACCAAGAGGTTGCCGGATCAAGGCACATGCTCAGGTTGCAGGCTTGATCCTAGGGGTGGGGCTGGTGGGGCCAGGGTTAGGGTGGGGGGGCGCTGAAAGGTGGGGCGGGGGAGCATGCAGGAGGCAGCTGATTAATGATGTTTCTCTTTCATCAATGTTTCTGTCTTTCTATCCCTCTCCCTTCCTCTCTCTCTAAAAGTCAATAAAAATGTATTTTTAAAAAGAAGATAGACATTTAGAGTCATTTTCCCATGAAGTGTGATGAAAGGAACAAAGGAGTTGAAGATATTGTCAAGACAGTGGTTGCCAAAATGGACTATGAGATCTAAAGTGGATATTGAGGGAAGTGAAGACAGCAAGGGGCCTGATGGAAAAAGCAGATAGGTCCTAGTAAGATGAGGAGCAGTTATATCAGGTATAGCTGAACGTGCCAGATGGGAGGATAATAGATTATGGTTAGACAGTAGGATCTCTGAATTAGTGATTTCAGAGATGGGACAGTTATAGG